ACTTTCTGAGACCTGGTTAGTTTTTCTCAGAGCCACCTTGGGGCTGTAGCCACTAAGAACCAAAAGGAAGGTGTCAGGAACATCACTTGAGTCAGAGAAAGGGACCACAAACCCACTAGCCACAGACATCTGCCTCTGAGGTGAGCAGAGCACCTGGAAGCCAGGCAGGAAGGGGACAGTGAACTGGAGTCTAGCAATGTCAGCCAAGACCCCAGGAACCAGCATGAAGTTAGGTGTCCCTCTCCCTTCTTGTTTCATGGGCCCTTTAAGCTACCTGCGCTTCCCTCCCGTTTGTCCTGACTGCCCAGGGAAAAGCGAGAAAGGGAGAGGAGGGAAGCTCTCTCAGCCAAGAGAGCTCTAGAGGAACCTTCAATTAATGCAACTGGAACATGCTTGATTCAAGCTAAGTAATAAATTTCCGCAGTAGGTGAGAGCCAAGAAAGATCAGAACAACTGCAGGTGAAGAAATTGCATTTTCTCTGCTTAGATGAAGGACAGAGGAAGGAGGAAAAAACAGAAACAATAATTACAAAAACTCTCGAGTTTCATATTTCATGAGAATAATGCAGATGAAGAAGAAAAAGTGTTGATAGAAGAGGACTGGTAGAGTGATGTCCAAGTGCTGCAAGTATAAGTTCCACCTGACCAGAAAATAAGGGAGGTGGGGGAGAAGTCCTGTATTGTAGAAAGGTAAACATGGATGTAAACTAAGGATATGTCAGTAAAAATTAGAAGATGAAAAATAAAGGAAGGGGGTGGGTGTGATAGTGATGTAGATGTTCTCTTCTGTTTCTGTTCTTGTCCAGAATCTGAGAGAAAGTCACCAGCTGAGAGTGAGGGTGGGTGAGCAGATGTTGGGGATGAAGGAGAGAAGTTGATGCACAAGAATGGTGTGGAAGGTGGGAGAGTAGATGAAACAGAATTAACATGAGGATAACTGGAGAACCAGGCACTGCACAAGAGGATGTACTTTTTTTTTTTAGGTTTTTTTTATATATAAGAGTTTATTTTTACATCATTTTGGACATTATTTTTATCTCAATTGTAATCTCCGTGGCTTCCCATCACCCAATCACCCATGTGCCATCACCATAGTCCAGCGCACTTCCCTCCCCCCAGTTTTTGATCCCACTCCCCACTCTACCCCTGTAAAATGTCTCTGGTATATAGCTGTTCATTATTATTATTATTATTTTCTTGCCTGATCAGTTATATTCCAGCTATGAGTGAAACCATCCACTATTTTTCCTTTTCTTTCTGGCTTATTTCACTAAGCATGATCTTCTCCAGCTCCATCCATGTTGCTGCAAAAGATAGGTGTTTATTTATTTATTTTTTTTGGTTGCTGAGTAATAGTCCATTGTGTATATGTACCACCTCTTTTTAATCCAGTCATCCACTTTTGGGCTTTTGGGCTGTTTCCATGTCTTTCCACTTGTAAATAAGGCAGCAATAAACATGGGGGTAAGAGGCTGTAAATTTTAAGTGAAACAACTCAACAGCTATTTGTTACTGTGCATCGAATCTGCAGAGAATCCAGTATAGGGAGGTGATTAAGCAGACAATAGGATCATGGAGAAGTTAGCAAGGAAGTCAGCGTGTCTGCCTGGAAGTAATCAGTATTACATAGAGAGTTTGAATTAGGTAGAGGAAGTAGTGAGGACTTGAGGCAATTGGGGCATAAGGAAAAGGCAAGAAGAGCAACTGACTGGATGCTCCAGCACTGTTGCAGGATTGCAGGAGTTGATATACTAAAGACAACAAGCTTGAGAAGCAAGGGTCGGGAGGGAGGTGAGGGTCAGATATTGGGATGACTGAAAGGGGGGTGAAGAAGGACTCCAGGTCCTAGGAATAGCAAGACCTTTGACAGAGACCAGGGCATGACAAGACTCCTGGGTGGGGGTGTGGATTTCATGAGGAGGAGAGCTTGAGAGTGGTGGTCAGGCACCAAAATCACCTGGGAGGGTGAGTGATAGGGGGAGGGGTGGGTTGCGCAGAGTCTTGATGTAAGAGAACCTGGGGGCAGCAGGTTCCTAGGGCAAGACCAGCTTTCAAGTGCAGAAAGAAGGGATCTTGGAAAATGTGTTAACACTTTACCACAGTAGGACTGATGGAAAACCCACTTACATGTTCATCCACAAAGAGATAAAGAACCGAGACTAGTCCCAGAGCAAACTGTGATGCGTGAGATGAGGACTGGGGGGATGGAGGGTGGGTAGAACAACTAAGAGAGTGGAGCAGGTAGTGTGATGGGAATGTGGGACAGCAGGTCCCACAAGTCCAAATCCCAGCCCTGGCTCTTGTTGCTGCGGGATCTCAAGTGAGGCCCATTTTACTTGCAGGTAAATTGAGTTCCTGTTCAAATTAGGATTAACTGGTTAGCACAGGACCAAACACAACCTAAATACTCAGTGTCAGCTATTGTCATTAAAAATGCAGTGAATTTGTCAAACAACCAAGCAGAAGAAACAGAGATAAAAAAAACCATCCCCTTTTCAATTAAAACAAAAAGAATCAAATACCTGGGAGTCAACCTAACAAA